TTTTTTTTTTTTAGAGACAAAGTCTTATTGTGTCGCCCTAGATAGAGAGTCATGGAGTCACAGCTCACAGCAACCTCCAGCTCTTGGGCTTCAATTCTCTCGTCTCAGCCTCCCAAGTATCTGAGACCACAGGTGCCCACCACAATGCCCAGCTATTTTTTTGTTGCAGTTTGGCCAGGGCCGGGTTCGAACTTTCCACCCTCGATATATGGGGCCGGCACCCTACCCACTGAGCCACAGGCACCACCCAACGTAAATGAACCTTGAAGACTTTATGCTAAGTAAAATAAGCCAGACACAAAAGGGCAAATATTGCATAATTCCACTTATATGAGGTACCTAGATTAGTGAAATTCCTAAAGATTCAAAGTACAGTGGTGGTTGCCACAGCCAGGGGATTGAAGAGAATGGGGAATTAGTGTTTGACCAGAGGAGAATTCCACAGTTTGGGAAGATGGAAATGCTCTGGGGATGGACAGTGGTGACAGGTCTACAACAATGTGAATACACTAGTGTTACTGAGCTTAGAAATAGCTAAAATGGCAATTTTTATGTTAAATATATTTTACCACAATAAAAAAACACAGTGGAAAAAAAGGAATACAGTACTGATACCTGCTCTAACATGGATGAACATTGTGCTTAGTGGAGGAAGCCGGACATGAAAGGCCAGTGCTGCATGATTTCATTAACATAAAATGTTCAGAACAGGCAAATCCACAGAGACAGAAAGTGGATTAGTCACTGCCAGGGTGGGGTGGGGGTAGCAACTGCCCATGGGTAGGGGGGTGTTTTAGGGGTGATGAATATATTCCAAATTAAACAGTGGTAACAGATGAAGAACTCTGTGAATATACTAAAAACCACGGAGCTGTACACTTTAAAAGGGAATTTTCTGGTATGTGACTTCTATCAGAATAAAGTTATTTGTTTTTAAAAGTCCAGTACACAAAAAAAGTCAGCAGTTAAACTGCTCAGGGGCACCTACTTCTGGGAAAGGCCTCTGGCCGTGGTCCCACTTCAGAAGCTTCAGGTACGCATAATTCTGGACAGCCACAGGATTTGGCCTGGGAGCATCCCCAGAGCCAGCAGCTCCTTCCCCAGCTGGCAGGGCATGTTTACGCTTCTGATTTATAAGGTCATATGAGGCTTCTTCTAGCCACTGGGTAACAAAGTCCAGGGAATCTGTGAAAAGCAAAGTTGTGAACATTACCATGACATTGCAGAAAGATGCTTCTCAGAATTACTTTAGGGTAAGGTGATCAGACATCTTGCTTTTTGCGGGACAGTCCCAATTTTTTTTTTTTTT